TCCCCCCGAGCTTCAATGCAGCCGACGCTGCTCGCATCCTGGAAGGTCTGCTCAAGCGTCGCCAGCGGCACAGAACCTGCACCTTGGGCGGGTCACAAGCAGCCCAGTGGGTTGGAGGTTCGGGACTGCTTGGCATTTCCTCTTTGAGCCATGGGTTCACATCCCCAACCACCAATCCAAAGAAACAATTAAGGGTCACGTGACAATTGCGGCCACTGGAAAAGCGGCAGGTCAAAAGATGTCAGCACCTCGATTCGCCATGTGGCCCTTCTGGATCTCCTCGGCGAGCACCAGGTCTTCGGGAGTGGGCGCCTCCTTCAAAGAGAAGACGGCGAAGGTCATGCTAGAATACCGGCTGCTCCCCACGAACTGGACCTCGCGCTTTTTCTTTGCGAAAAAAAAAGAGTGAAAATGGGGGGAGGGGGAGGGTAGGAGGGTTGGGGGCTGGCTGCAGGGATGTTCCTTGTGGGTGTTGGAAGGTGTTTCTCAAAAACATGGGAACCTGCAAGTGCCAGGTGGTTTTTCTTGCTCCTTCTCAAACAAAAGTTCCCAGCCGTTCCCCCTCCAACCCGCCTCCTTGCCCCTGCAGGTAGTCGTGAATTTGCTCTGGGGCATGGACTTCAAAGCACGCACCCGGATCCGCAGCTTGTTGTTGGTCATTCTGCCTGCGGCGATGGGTGTGCATGAATTTATCCCGAAATGAGTCACAATCAAAACCTGGTCCATGTAAAGAATTAGAAAGGCGGCCGCGGAAAATAGCACATATTCTTAAGCACGTGGAAGAATTCCAAAATAAGCAGCGCGTACGGGTTCTTCCGTCGAGTTGCTATATTCCTTTAAGACCCAAAGCCGGCGATTGCCGTCAGCCGCATACCATTTCTTGTCCATCTTGACCACGTGCAACCGCGGGAGGGCGTCTGGATGCAAACAGCCCTGCACCAAGTCCTTCAGTGTGTCCACCAGCAAATCGCCGCTGCGGAACCGAACGCTGACAGAATCCTCGGGCACTTTCTCAAAGAAAAAAGGGGCTAAGCATTACATATTGGTGTCCAACGATCAGAACTTCCTCAAAGTCTATGTGAAAGTAGCCCAGGCCGGCCTAAGTATTTCCCGCTCCCAGACTCCTGCGCCCAGCGGATCTTGTGCACTGCTAGCACCTCCTTTGCAAGTTCCAACTCAGACTCCTCACTGCCAGAGCTTGGATTTGGGCCTGTTGGGACCGGTGCCATTGCTTGCTCCTCGATGCCGGCCCAGTGAAAGCTGCCTCAGAACCAACTCCCCGAGCTGATCGGGAAGAAGGTGAGGTGTTCGCTCGAAAGTCAAAAGGAACCACTTGGAAGGGGCCAAACAAATCAATCGCTTGGCAATTGTGGCGGGAAAGTCGCGGGGGCTCGTAAGTTGGATCCACGGGCGTCAAGTACGATTCCGGAAAAGGGTCTCAAAGGAACGAATCGCCGAACAGGGGCACTGGGATCCGAAAATAAGATGAACAGCTGAAAGTCATGGCACTGGGAACAGGTATGGGAACAAGTGTGTGTGTGTGTGTGTGTGTGTGTGTGTGTGTGGTGTGTGTGTGTGTGTGTGTGTGTGTGTGTGTGTGTGTGTGTGTGTGTGTGTGTGTGTGTGTGTGTGTGTGTGTGTGTGTGTGTGTGTGTGTGTGTGTGTGTGTGTGTGTGTGTGTGTGTGTGTGTGTGTGTGTGTGTGTGTGTGTGTGTGTGTGTGTGTGTGTGTGTGTGTGTGTGTGTGTGTGTGTGTGTGTGTGTGTGTGTGTGTGTGTGTGTGTGTGTGTGTGTGTGTGTGTGTGTGTGTGTGTGTGTGTGTGTGTGTGTGTGTGTGTGTGTGTGTGTGTGTGTGTGTGTGTGTGTGTGTGTGTGTGTGTGTGTGTGTGTGTGTGTGTGTGTGTGTGTGTGTGTGTGTGTGTGTGTGTGTGTGTGTGTGTGTGTGTGTGTGTGTGTGTGTGTGTGTGTGTGTGTGTGTGTGTGTGTGTGTGTGTGTGTGTGTGTGTGTGTTGTGTGTGTGTGTGTGTGTGTGTGTGTGTGTGTGTGTGTGTGTGTGTGTGTGTGTGTGTGTGTGTGTGTGTGTGTGTGTGTGTGTGTGTGTGTGTGTGTGTGTGTGTGTGTGTGTGTGTGTGTGTGTGTGTGTGTGTGTGTGTGTGTGTGTGTGTGTGTGTGTGTGTGTGTGTGTGTGTGTGTGTGTGTGTGTGTGTGTGTGTGTGTGTGTGTGTGTGTGTGTGTGTGTGTGTGTGTGTGTGTGCATGGCTGAGTTTCACTGCGACACATTTGAGTCATATACAGTTATAAATGCATAAATATGCACATGTGAAAACGCACATTGCACCAGATGCAAATACATACGAACACGTGTTCATATATGCAAAGCAGTACCCATACATGTTGCAGTCTACAAATGACATGTTGTTAAGAAGCCACAGTAGGCTTTGGGCTCAAGCAAGGCCAAAAGCCAAACATACCAGCTGTCCAGTGCAGGATTGGTTGCACCATTTTCCAAATGAACAGTGAACAGCCCCTGTCCACTTGCCAGGCAGGCGGTGAAGGAATCCGTCATGTTCATGCCAGTGCTTGCACATTCGCCGGATATAGAAGCAGCAATGCATTGGAAGCTTGATGCAATCCCCTGCTGAATGATGCTCGTAGGACAACAGTCCCATGAATTGGGTGCAAAAGTTGGGCAAGGAGCACCAGTTTGCGATGCAACTTTTTGCCCCCGGGTGTCTTTCATAGAACTCCTCGATGTCACTGACTCTTAAAGCTTTTCCAGGTCCCACCCATTCTTCCACAAAGAGGGCCAAGGCCGCAGCAGTTGCTGCATCACTTTGGTCCGGGAAACGCTCCAGCAAGGCAAGCTGAATACCGGGCCCTTCAGACTCCCGCACCACAAAGGTGTCCGAATGCTCAGAGCAGAATACCCGCAGCGTGCGGTTGTGCGCGTGGATGACCGCAGAGTCTGCAGGATTGGCCCCCTGAAACTTGCTCAAGTCCCTGGAGGTGGCATCCCGGCCCAATGTGCGGAGAAACGCCGCCAAGCGCGACACCACAGAGTCTTCCGACGGAGCGAGCGTGAGCTTCCAATGCGGCGGCTCGTCTTGGTAAACCACGAAGTGCTTCGGGTGGTCCTCGCAGAAGCCACGCATGTCACGGATGACGGCACGATGCTGGGGATGTCGGCTGTAAAAGCCTTGGAACCTCTCTGAGGACACTGTGCCACCCTGGGGGTCACTGGGTTTCTCTTTAGGTTGCAATTTACTGGTAGGTTCCAATACACATGCGACTTTTGGAGTCCAACAAGAGTTGAGGAACCCCTGCCTGTTCCTGCACAAATGTGAGGAGGTCCCACAAAGGAGAGCCGACCTTCTGAATGGTGTAATTCCCAGACCTGCCTTGGTGTATCTTGAAGTGCTCCGGGTGCTGCAAGCAAAAGTTGCGCATGTTCGTCGTACTTTCCCGGTGGAGGGGGTTCGCAATGTAAAAATCGCCAATTTGGCTGGATTCGAGAGACCCTCCGCATGCGTCCAAGTAGGCTAGGAAATTGCTCAAAAGCGCCCTCTCAGCCATAACACGGTCGTCTGAGCCCCCTCTCGACATGGCACAAATCAAGCCGGTTTGAACAGAACGGCTGCAAACAAGCCATGTTGCGAGATGACTCTGGTCTGCAAGTACCGGCAGGCGAACCAATAACCAGTGCAACCCCGCACGTAAAGTTTTAAGCAAACTTAGAATCACCCAAAGGCAAATGACAGTGATAATGGTGCGCAAGGCTTGCGGGATGACGCGGGCGGCGTCTTTTTGGACCCAATTTCAGTGATGCGGAAAGGGGCACTTTCCCAGTGCCACGCAAACAACTTGGGGGGCCAAAACATCCGGATAACTCGAATTCTTCAAAAACTCCTACACAGGCATCCCTCGCAGTGGGCTTGGAAACTTCCCCGAGAGTTGAGGTTTGCGGCGCATTCCGCCCCATCCATCGTGACATGAGGAACCCAAGCCGTGGCACTGATGGGAGTGAAGGACATGGCAGGATCGATTTCATCTTATGTATTGGAGGGGCACATGACGGACTTCATCATATGCGAGTGCTGCACTGCGCGAAGCACCAAGGTCCAGGATTGTGGGAATTGCCGACTTCCGTGATACCACCAGAAGCCCTTTCTAAAGACATTTTCCTCGTTCAAAAGGCCAACACATCCAAACGAATTTTCGGTTGCCCACCACACCGGCCCTCCCAAAAAAAACCAAGCCCAGCTCCGCTAGCCCGGCTTGATGCGCCTGCGCTCTGTACCAGGTCCGACTCGCAGGGTGCCAGGCCCGCCCTGGGCAGCCCATGAAACCCCAGAAGGTGACATGGGTCACCAACGCACCCCCCCCCCCGAATCACGGAGGTCATTGTTTGACAAATTGGCGGTTTTGCTCTCAGGCCAGCCCGCCCCGAGTGCAGGTTGACAAGCCCCAACGCCACTACAAGGCGTGGGGCACTCAACTTGGGTCCTCACGGACCCTCAACTGCCCCACAGGACCTGGAAATCAACGGCGTTGGACAATGTCACTTCCCTAAACATCACCTTCTGGTGACCTACCTGCGCCCCTGTATGAAGCAGAAGGCTAACCATGGAAGCATGACCAGCAAGGTCAAGCGGAGTCAAAGCAGTGAGTTGCGCTGACAATCTTCGAGTCTCACCCTACAATTGGATATTTCCAAAAACTAGGGCGCCCTTTGATTGGCGCAAGAAATTGACAATTTACGGGGGTTGCCTATGTTGAGACACACACAATTGTTCCCGGCCCATTCCCTCCCACCTTGTAATGAGCCCGTGCAGGAAGCTGTTGGCAGTGTCAGGCTGGGCCGGCGCGAGTGACAGCGTGGACAATGCATCTGCTTTCAGATGAATGGGGCAATGCGGGGTCCTGCTGATGTACTCTTAAAACAAAACAAACTGCTTGCAGGTTGGAATATTGATTCTTGATCATGATCCATGATCCACTTGCATTCCCTAACACGTGAAATATGTAGCACCAAACAGAGGGGTATGTGCGTGTGTGGGTGTGTGTGTGTGTGATTTGTTCTGAGGACCACAAAGCGGATCACCATGTATGGCTCCCCTTTCGCTGAGGTTCCTGGTATTAAAGCCGGCTAAAAACCTAAACAATTAGGATGGCACCGGTACTTTATCCATGTTCTATTTTCCACCCTGTGTCCCTATGGGATCGTAGCGGCTATCTTGGACTCCGACTTGAATGGGCGCAAAGCCGTACTTTATCGTACTTTGTCGTTCCCCATGATGTCCAACAGGTTGGGAACTGTGAAAAGGCATTTCCCGAATATCATGGACACATTCCAATCTGCGGCAGCTCGTCAAAATATGGTGTGTTGTTTTTGTCGACCAAAATGACTAACACAAATGCAATCCGACCTGCTTGCTTTCGCGTGCCCCGAAGCTACCCTCGCGTGCTGCAGAACACATCTGCCGTGAGTGGTCGACATGGCCAAGTCCCACGCTTTCTCCCTCCCGTCTAGGAAAACTACAATTCTGCAGGCTAACATGGAACATCACGGAACCCCCAGAAAGATTCTCCCTTTGCGGAGCCCCTTTCTTTGGTTCCATGTAAATCCGCAGGGGAATAAAAGAAAACAACCCCAACGCACCGCGTTGCTCTTAAAGCCTCCAAATGCGCCCCAAGGCAAAAGGCAAAAACACTGTCCGCAGGCCTTGCAGTCGCCCGTCCTGAGCAGGTCAAGCGCAAATATCGGTGAACAACTCCCAGAGTATGTCAATATGTTTGTGGACACATGCGTTGGTTTGATGTATCTATGTTGGTTTTCCTTTAAACGAACCCTGTACCCGGGCACTCTCAAAACCCACCTGACAAGGCCAAGCCAGCAAAGCTTGCACGCAACTGGCGGTAGAAACAGGGCCCCTCTTTAACTCGAAAGCCCAGGTAGGGCCCCGCCCTCTGTGATCGTCCGCAACCTGGGGCTCGCGGCCTCAAGAACTCTTCAAAGGCAGCTATGGGGTAGACGTAGCTGTCCTGGAGATCTCAGAAAGCGGGCGAAACGTCCCAAGGCCCCATGGTTTGGAGGTGGCTTCAAATGGTTGCAACGTGCGTGAGTGCAATACTCCGAGCGAGAACCAGGAAGTAATTCATATCATTTGTCTGGCACTATCTTTCATAAGGATGGCACTGTTAGCTCCTTAATGACAACTAAACTAATTGTGATTCAATCTCCTTCATTCATGTGGTGCTATTAGAGCCATTTTTACCATTGATCCCAAAAACATAAGTTCGACAAGCGTTCCCAACAGATCTTAAAACATGACGCAACCCTGATGAAAGCGCACGCTCCAGTTGCACGTTAAGCCAGCGGTTTGCAATCAAATGCTCAGCTCAGCGGGGCGCTTGCATCAGGCATTCCTTCTCACTGGCTGAGTGGATGGCCCAAAAAAAGTCTAACCTTTCTATTTACCACCAAAACGGTCTTCCCAAAAAGTTTAAAGTGCATGAACTCAGGAAGTGAGCCTTCTTGGCAAGGCCCAAGCTGAACGTTGACGACATGGGCGCCATCTCCGGACGCCCCACCAAACCAAGGGCCACTCAGAACGTACCACCGCGGCAGCCTCGCTTCGCCGAGGCACTTTGCAGCGCCCTTGGCAGAGGTTGAAACTGCTTCGCGGAATCGCACAGAAGCGCTTCGCAGAACCACTTCGCAGAATCCTTTCTTTCTTGCTTCCTTTCTTTCTTTCCTGATTGACTGTGGCGACCGTCAGCGCACTTGACGCGCAAACTTCTCCAGTGCTTGGTGGCCGTGGCTTGACGCAGTCGCGTACTTCCGAAGGGTAAGTCAGCCCACCTGCACAAATGAAACGCCGTAGAAGCCTCACTGAGCTGGAATCGAAAGCAGGGGCTGAATCCTCAAAGCCCTGAATCAACCCCGAACGCACTACTTTCAAACTAACAGGCAGGCCCGGCCAAGAGATGCATGCATTCTGGCTGGAAATAAGAGGGCTTTGGAGAAAACAACAAACAATTTCCTCACCCGCTTTGTTTGCCATTTATTTGGGCGGGACATCGACACACGAGCGCTTCAGCGCCCCCGTCAGAGACCCAAAGGAGTCAAGTTCACCCGGCTCCTCCGTACGAAGCTCGAGCTGCTTCAGAGGCTTCACCACTGCAGCGGCCAAGTCCTGATGGGGGCAACCGATTATAAAAGAGCTTGTTGGCCAAGGCCACTCTGAATGGGGAAAATCAATGGGACCGATTGGGACCCCTGAAAGGGGACAACAATGTGATTAGAGTTTGGGATTCCCTTCCAATTCCACCCAAAAGCAGTAATGAGCAACACTAACCTGCAAGAAACTAACCCATGTAAATTGTTGCTTCTTTATAGTTTCTTGTACAAACCTGCTAACCTATAGGAAACTAACCAATGTTATTTTTGATGTTCTAAGCCTGCCAAGCCTTAGGGATTGCGTCTGGGGGGGAGGGGGAGTGTCTCAGAGCCTTTATGGTCTCAAAACGCAATCCGCCCCGTGCCTTGGAGCTCTTGATCTTCACGCTGTGGATGCCGCCTCAGGGCTTCTTGCCAGGGTGGAACACCAACCGGACATCTCACCTCTCCGTTGTTCATGTGCTTGGCCAAACACGTGTTCACCTGGCACCCCACCTGCCGGCACCCCGCATGGGCACACGCACTCTTGTGATGGGCTCAGACTGCATGAGGATTCCCAAAATGAGTTTGGCGGAAGGCCAAACAACAAACCTGAACCGAGACTGATGCGCTAAATCCATTAAACAAAAAAGAACGGGCCACAAATGGCCCGATGCGGACAAAGCCCACTTGGCACTTGGCGCAACCTACCTCCACTTGGAAAAGTTGATGCTGTTGCTTCGCCTATGTGTCAGCCCTTCCATGGTTGTGAACACATGCGTTTACTTTGCCAGTTGAGGGTTGCCGAACAAGATTCCCAGAAGAAAGGCGAAAAACACACCCAGAATGCTTTCTCTAAAACAGGTGGACCCGCACAGTTTCTGGTTCTCCAACGAACTCCGTTTCAAACCATCCAAACAAGGTGGTTAGAAAGCCACACCCACGGCTGTCAGCCAAGCCGCGGAGGACGTCACTCAAAAGATCCGCTGCAAGGATGGCAGACTCCTGCACAGCCCCCTTCAGGCGAGGAAGTGAGGGGTCCGAACTCCATGTTCTAGTCTTGCCCACGGGGGAGCAGATGCAATTCAAGGGGGAAACTACCTCCCGCAGTTGGGATGCCCTACTCTCCCACATCCACCGCACGAACGATTTCGGCCCCGAGCATTCAATTCGGACACACACATTCGTAGCTCATCAATGCACGAATTCCCTGCAAGTTCAAACGCAACTGGCTTAATGTAATGAGTTAACTTCGGATTGATGACCGCAGTCAAAGGAACACCCTAGAACAGGACAATCTCCCCAGTGGGCTGACGGCTCAGGTATGCGGTGATGCTGGTGCCCAGACAGCACTCAAAGGACTGCATCGCGGGCCAAGTGATCATGTCAATGTGCTGCTTGCTCCCCGAATCGTGAAAGGTCAGGGGTTGTCTGTTGCTGCGCATTTGCTCTGAAATCAGTGCCGGGGGCGGGGGGGTCCCTGTCCCTTCATGCAAAGCTTCATGGATAAGTTAACAGCTAGCAGAGGAATCCCGTGCACACACAAACCGCTTCTGGCTGTGCCGGCGAGTGCCACATGCGACATCTCAGCAAAACACCACGCTTCCTCCTGGTGGGATGCCGAGAGCACGCGGGCCGCAGCTCCTGACGGCAGCATGTTGAGCCGCCTGTGAAGGGCAGTAGGGCCCTGTTCTTATGCCCACCAACCAAAGTCAAACTTGTTGGACCGAGTTGGACAGTAGCCATAGGGGGAATTGGTCTCGTCCCTTAAACACCAGGTTTAGACACAGTGGCTTGATTACAACTTGGCTCCGCCTCAGCCAGCACAACTTGGTCAGACTGAACCCCATGAGCAAGAACGGCTACCGGGTTTTCTGATCCAAACTTGAAACGGGGAAAAAGCTGAATTCACACTTGCTTCACCTGGAACCTCCATGAATCCGCCCGATGTTTGCAGCAGTCTAAGCCAACTTTGTGTTTTCATGGTGGGCAAGAGCATGCCCAAAACTCATGTCTTGCTTGCAAGAGTGTTCTCCTGCCTTCCTTGCAGTGGGCACGCGAGCTGGTCAACTCCCTGCTCTTCAAAACTTGAGGGCTTGCCAAGTATGGGGGTCCCGTCTTACACCCACAGCGAGCAAATGTCTCAATACGTTGGCCGGTTTTGTTATCTGGCGGGTGCTTCTTGCGCCTTTCCATCAAACCAAACAAACAAAGCGGTGGGAACACAAACATTTTCAGAATGCACAGGTGGGTCAGCATTCCTGTACATGGCCTCTTGGTCACGATGCACCCATGCTCGATTTGAAGCCCCGCTTGCACACCGTGTACCCCAAGGGCAGCCTTCAGTCAGATGCGTGCCATTGGCAGAACTGCTCGAGATAGCCCAATTGCGATCACTCGCCAATTGGGTAACTCTAAAAAATCAGGGGGCCGGGTCCGCTGAAAAGACACACCCCCGGTTACAGAAAGCGTACGGCACCAGGTGCCTGACCTGAAAGTAGCCAGGAAAAGGAATCACGGCAAAACCCGGCTGCAGCTGGGCTAGCCATGGTGAATGGGGCAGTGAATCCGGGCAAATTACCAATTCCGAACTGCAGGGCCTCTCAGCAGGGCTAGGGCAAAGGGATCCAACCGAGACCTGTGTGGATTCGGCAGCTGTTTGCTGGTATGGAAACACATAACAGTCAACAGTCCAAAGGTCTAAGCTTCTGGTCTGGCAACGGCGGGTCCTCCGCCAGCCAGCTCGCATAGCACCTGGCCGAGTCCCCTTCCGCTCCTCTAGGTGGCCGTGTGTCACACTAGTGAGCCCAAATAAAGCCCAAAGGGGTATCTGATTTCGACATACTCGCGTCAGGGTTTGCAAAAGCAAGGATTTGGCGCCAGCCCCGACTTGAAGAAACCCGTTTGGGGCCGGTGCTAATCCCGACTTGGTCACTCTGGGTTTATATCTGGCAGGTTTATATTTGTGAAGCTTAAAAGTGGATCGCACGACCCCTGAAAAGGGATCCCGCTGAATCCGCACGAATTCGTCCATGGTTCCGGGAATGGACCGCTTCCTTGCGGCATGGCTTTGAAACCAAAGGTGGTCCGGTCCGCCAGGAAGACGTGAATACATATGTGTGGGCCAAAAAATAAACCACCAAACAACCGCAGGTTTTGGTCTTTGGGTCCATTTACTAGGGCTCCATTTTGGGTACCCATCTTTGACCCACAGCTATATGACGTGCGAGTGTGATGGTTAAGGGAGCGGGCTCACCTACGTAAACAGTGCACCTCCAAACCGCCCTTCGACAAGCAAGAAGTCGAAAACTAACATTTTGGCGTGTATACAAATGCACAAGCAAGCAGCGTGCCTTTGTTGGGCGTCTTTGTTGAAGGTACTCCTTGTTTGGCGTGTTTTGCCAAAGGAACACCACCTTTTTTGTGTCCGCATCCTAAGAAAAGACGCGCCACCCATCTGCAACCGGCAATCGATTACCTGCCTGTGGCGTCATGCTCATGACGGCGCCATTCCCCCAGGAGGGCTTGCCACCAGGGTATCTCCCGCTGAAGTGCTCCTAGCCACTCCGAGGCAAGGAATTCTAGCTTGGGAGAAAACGCAGGTGTCCATTTTAGGTTTGTTTGGATAGAAACAAATGGCGCTGGTTTAGATGGGCTCCGTTCCACTTACCAGGGCCCTCTTTTTTCTACAAGGTCACCAGTGCGAAACGCCAATGGCACACCAACCCCTGAAAGCTTCTACGAACCTTCTTAGGGGCTCGAACTACCGTTTTCCATTGGCACCAAGGGTCAGAACTTCAAGTGTGAAGAGCTTTGACACAAAACTCACCTTACGCACGAGCCAACCTCCAGGTCTTTGCCCGCGCCTGGGCAAAGTTAATGTACTCTTCCTCAGGAGGCGCTCTTTCCCGCGCCAAATCGGGAGTGTGGACAAATTAGACCATGTGTCCCGTCTGCTGCTGGCATCCTTTTGGAAAGTTCAAAAAGTATGACAGAAACTTGGTTGCTGCAACGACCCCCCTGCAAAAAGCTTTTAACTTTTTGGGGGTTTAGTGGAAACCCAACTTGATTTCCACCAAAAAGTTAAAGTCTAGAACTCCAACCCAATGGCATTCAAGGGTTCTTGGGGTCTCCCTTGTACCGCCCCTGTGATTTATGGGGCAGCGAGCCACAAAATGCCAAGCGGCCTCTACAGGTTTCATAAATGGGAATGCAGGAGTGGGAATGCAGTGATAGAAATAGTATCAGTGCCAAAATTAGTATTGCCAATGCTAAGTTTAATGTTACGGGTACTTGATGTAACATGTATTAGATTTAGCATGCAAACACTAGCTTCAGTACTGCCAGTACAAATTTATACAAATGTCTTACTATTTGTGCCAGGCTTAATATTGTGCTATCTTTGCGTATGCCCCGCAAAGGCGGTCTACGGAAAGCTGGAGACTTTGAAAGCGCACGCGCGTTGCCAAGCGAATCCTCCGAGTACTCACTTTAAACAGCTAGAACCAAATCTAGTATTGCCAGGACTAAATGTAGTATTGTTAGTATCAAATTTAGTATTGCCAGCACCAACTTTGGTATTGCCCCTAAATTTAGTGTTGCCACCACTTAATTACATATTCGTACGAGAAAAAAAGTCCTTGGCCACAGCCACCCAAGCCGGGTGTTCAGAAAACCAAAAAGAGTTGTGTCATCTACTCTGGCCAGAACATTTCCGATAATTGATAATCTCCGTTTGTTAATAGTAGATCGCACTCCCCCCAACTTTTTGAGCCATCTACTCTCAAATCAGAGTAGGTTGACTAGCGTTTGAGGATCCTTCACTTTTTCAGGGGAAACCTGAGTTTTCCAAGTCAACTAAGTACATGAAACCATCCAAGTGCCTCTCACGCCTCATGTTTTCTAACAAGGCCCGATTATGCGCAGCAAGCCAGCCAAAAAGGTGCCGCTGCTGTCGTGACAATGTGTAAAGCGCCCCCCTCCCCCAAATGTGAATATGCTTACAGTGGGCCTCTTCACACATCCTCCGTTTATCCTCTCATTACACCTAAAGAGGCAGAACTCCGCCCTAGCAACCACAAGCTGCCTGGTTCCCAACAGCCTGGTTCCAAGGCGCAGTCGGGTGGTAGCCAGAGTCCGGAATCCACAGGGCCGTCAGCTGGCCCAAGCGATTGCCCCGGGAAGGCTTTAGCAGATCTTTCCTGAGCGAGCCAACGCGAACCATAGTCCCCTTACGCACGCAGCGTGCGAAGCAGTTGCATGCAGAGGCAAGCCAATCAAGCACGTGTTGACATGATTGACCTTACGGACGCGTCCAAGGAAGCACATGCTGCTCTGGAGGG